ACTGGGAACTGATATCCAGCAGATGGTAGAAAGTAAGGAGAGCTCAGGAGGTGTTCATCTCTGGTCCGAAACCTGGTGGCAGTGGAAATGTTCCGTCCAATTCGCAGTTGGAACCCAGCCTTACACATTCAGGTAATCATGTGTTTCGTCCAACTTCAAATAACACCAGATCCACCAGGAACCAACATCCAGTGGATGGTAGGAAGTAAGGAGAGCTCAGGAGGTGTTCATCTCTGGTCCAAAACCTGGCGGCAGTGGAAATGTTCTGTCCAATTCGCAGTTGGAACCCAGCCTTACACATTCAGGTAATCATGTGTTTCGTCCAACTTCAAATAACACCAGATCCACCAGGAACCAACATCCAGTGGATGGGAGGAAGATGAAGAGAGACCTCAATTTTGGATAACATCTCCAGTCCAAAACCTGGTAGCATCCAGTTCGTGGTAAGAGGAGGAAACCACCCAAAACATATGTGAGAACTTATGTGGTTGGACTGTCTCCAACCGACACCTGACTCAACCAGGAGCCGAGATCTGGAGGATGGTAGGAAGGAAGAATGTCTTAGCCAGAAGGGCAAACTGCAATATATATAGAAAGATATGGCAGAGTGCTACAACCAACACTAGGCAGCATCTGGAATAGTACATCAGGTCTGCAGTAGGAAAAGTTTCAACACCACAGATCATCAGAGATGGGCAGTAATCTCTGTCTGCTTTACCCATGGAAGTCTATGAGTGTATGGTCTGGATGAACATATTTATGAAACAATAGAACGCGATATATAATTATGAGGACTTGTATATACATAACTATCTGGAGGATGGTAGAAAGGAGGAATGTCTCAGCCAGAAGGGCAAACTGCAATATATATAGAAAGATATGGCAGAGTGCTACAACCAACACTAGGCAGCATCTGAAATAGTACATCAGGTCTGCAGTAGGAAAAGTTTCAACACCATGGAACATCAGAGATGGGCAGTAGTCTCTGTCTGCTTTACCCATGGTCGATATATAACTATGAGTAGTCCTACAGAACACCCCATCTCTATGGTGTATATATCATGATCCTGTGATGTTTTACTATGTTCCATGTAATATTTATGATATCGATGCAGATATGACAACTGAACGGAGTCAACCAACCAACACCTGACAGTATCTGGAATTGCACATCAGATCCACAGAAGGAAGAGCCTCAATGTAATAAACATGTAGTATAGTCACAGGATGTACAGTGCAGATTTAAAACTAAGTATAGTAAGTAAAGAAAAATAAAAACAAATGAAGCAGTCCACATACCACCCTGATGATGTTCACCCAGAGAAGATAGAAAAGGGCAGCCAGGGACAAGATAGGGTGACAGATCTCATGGGAAAAAACACAAAAAAGACAACAAACATCCAGAGAAGGAGAAAAATATGCAAGGCAAAGTGACTGGCAAATACAACCCATAAGGGGAATGGGAGAAAAGTCACCGGAAAAAGTAGACTACCATGATCAACAGAAAACCCTTAATGAGATAGATGTATAGCCTCAACCAAAAAGTGAAGGGAGGATAATGCACAGATAATAGTGGACATTGTAAGAAGTATATGGTATAATGGAGGTAGGTAAAATTAACTAAAGTATTAGGGTCTGATGCCCACATAGGAAGAATAATTCCAATAGGTATGAGTTTAATTATGGGTAGTTGGAACTATGAAAGCTAAAACATAATAAGCTAATATAAGTGGAGAGTGAGGCATGTTAATCCCTCAAATTCAAATGTTCCCCAAAATGACTAGCAAGAACCCCAATATTCAGGTAAGGAGAAAAAACTAAAGAATGACCAAAGATTAATCCCCTAGGAATGCATGGGTAGAATCTTAAAGGAAAACAGGAGACAAAGACATACCTGAGGCTTGGGTAAGATCCCTGAAACAAAATGTGACAGATAAACATATTAAGGAGGGGGGGGGGAGAAGCTGTCCAAAATCACAGCCACCCATACAGATACACCAAGGCACTGGTATGAGAGAACACTCATCAAGTTACTCAGAATGTTGCCTGAAATTATACAGTTTTCTACAGATCACAGGTGTCACTTCAGTGGCTGATAACTGTGATTGGTAAATCTGCTGTAGCAGTGACAGCAGAACAAAAATATAAAAGGGAGAATAGACTAAGAAAATAAAAAATGATTCTCCACAAAAAATGGAAAATAACAATAACTTAATTAGAAAAATACACGAAAGTAAAAACGTGTGGATATAATAACTGAATCGCAAGCGAAAACAAACACATATGCTCAGTACGACTGCTAACCGTAAAGTGATTAACATGATTAGAGAGGGAGCTAATTACGATAGGGGGTAGTGTCACACTCCCATTGGTGGAGGATTGCTGCATGATCATTTACATGTTAAGATGCAAAAAAAAATGGGAGTTGCAAGGCTAGTAGTGATCAAAACATTTGTGCTGATAGAGGGCAGTACTAGTGAAGAAAGCTTTTTTGTGAGTGAAGGTAAGATATAATATCATAAAATTAGTTTTTGTGCATTGTAATTAAGGTAAGTTTTATTTATTTTTTAATGTTAGGTCCATTAATAGTATTGGTTAAAATATTTAACAGGTAATTATTTACTTTTATTGCTTTTCATTTATATTATATTACTATATATATTATTAAGATTAGGATAAAACTATCACTAAAAGCTACACTATGCAACCGATAAGTAACTGTACTCTAATCATTATTAGTTCCAATTTAGTGTTCCAAGTTAGATGAGTATATTAAATTATCTATATAAATTATTGAGTTAATTGTAACCTATATATGTAGCTTCTTTTGTATCAAACTATTTGCTGTTTTCACCCTCCTAAGCTCTACCAGTAGCAAAATTATTCTAAATGCACTTTAAACTTAGCTTTCACTTGAAATGAATAAGTACTACTGACCTTCAGGATCAGACCGGTAGGCTATACGTAGTGCAGAAGGATGAGTGTGAATACCATCAGATATAATTCCAAAGTATACAGTTCTTCCCGGTGGCAAAGTATCTGTTGTAAGTAAACCAACCAGTCCTGGGTCCCGATGATGAAACTGAGAATTATTATAAATAAAAGCTAGTTATACTTCACTCTGTCTCATAAAATATTTTGTCCTACACTGTTATTTTATAAATTTCCAAAAAAGGTATAAAAAGAAAGAATGCCTATAATAGTTCAACCTAACAACAACAGAAATTTAAACTCTGCAGTAGTTAACCTAAAAAGGATTTGACAAACTAATCAGAAGGCAGTTGCAGCATTAATATTTTTTAGCTTTACATAAAGCAAAAACAAAGAGAAAACTCATTACTCTTTTGGGATGCAACCAGAAAAAGGACATTCCAGCAACAAATTGTGCATAAAATAAAGCAGCTTTAATACTTGAACAGAATAATAAGGAAATACAGTATTCCAAAAGCTGAATGAACTACTCATAAACATTGCTGCTGTTGTCACTGCACATATACAAAATCACCAATAAAAAAAACTCAACTTCAACAAGGATTAGTTGAAACACTTTTCTGGTAAAACAACAATTGTGCTTGATTTTAACAGCAAGTAAGAACAAAAAATACTAGCTACTTTAGGCTTACTGGTAACATTGCATTAAACAGATGCGTGATGAAATTAGCTCCAGCATGCATGGCTCTTTCTCCATCAGCAAGGTTCCCTGAAGAATGACCTGGATATAAGGAAATAAAATTATATAAACTCTTCCTTATTTACTTACACACACAAAGTCTACAAATCAGGAGTAATATTCACAAAGTAAACAACAACAATACATTAATCTATAAGTTGAATCTAACAAGAAACTAACCATTAAACAGACAGCTTCTAAACTAAGTTTGTCATTTGTTAATGTAACAGAATTAAATAAAAGAGAATCAACTGAAACTCAGAAATTTGAACAATATATATTTAATGGTGATGATGGCCCAAGCTTTTAAAAATTTTGTCTTGCACTGAATTATTCAAACTTTATATTAAATTATATTAGGATGTTTAATATTGTGTCAAATTTTGTACATATATAGAATAAAATGTTCAGGTACTCAGCAATAAGACAAACTACCTGTAATTTAGCTGTAACTAAGTTCTTTATGATGAACAGTTATAATTATTCTAAAATTTGTGCAGAAAAATTATATTTTGGTGCAAGTCAACTATTTTATCCCATCCTTAGTGAAAACACAAGTGCAAACCTATTACATAACATAATGGGTTTCATTTTATCATAAATTTATTTTGGTTAATAATTATTTTCAATTAAAATTTGAAAAAATTCAAACAAATTACTCTTTTTAGCTTATTTTGTTTGCTACTAAAACTACTTTATACAGATTTTTCAAAAATTACCACAGTGTTGTTGACATATGAAATAAGCTTTATGAAAAATATATTTACAACAGACACTTACCTCCCCTCACAAAAAGCTTTTTAAAGACTTACACTGCTCTCTATCAGTGCAAGTTTTCGCTTGCCACTAGCTTTGATACTCCCACTTACCCTTGCATATGTAAACGTGAGACATCTGAATACTAACATGCAAATGAATTATTCAGCAACCCTTCACCAATTTGCAACTATTGTAACTAGTGCCTTCTCTAATCTTGCAGCCCTTAATCACTTTGAGATTTGGCAGAGCAAACCAAACCACACTGGAAGTGGGGTGGACATGTGGGAATTGTGAGAAGAGGCAAGTTTCTGTCAAAAATACATTTTCAGTTTAGGAAAATGTTAGCTTCAGATATGACATCTGACCTTTTCTCACAAAAAGCTAGAATTCCACACTAAACAGTTGGAGGGCCAGTGAGAAGAAGATCCCCCTTGAGGAGGCTCACAAAGGAAAACCATGGGGTGTGAGAAGAAACTAAAAGCAACAAACCCATGAGAGACAGACCACCTACACATGTCTTTTGGGCAGCAGTTTAGGTGGCCAAGGTATTTTTTTCCTATTTTGTAACAAAGCAACCCATAAATGAATTAATCACACTATGGTTTATACTATAGACCTTTCTTATTTGTAGTACTAAACAAAGTAAAAAAAAATAAAATATTGAGAAATAAATCATACTGTAAGATGGTGTTGATATCAAGTATGTTGTACACAATGGTGTAAAATAAGCTTGATTGCTCAATTCCATCAAATAAATAGGATAAAAACTCGTATGTTTGGTTGATGATGACTGCAGACAAATAATCCAAGACAGCGAGTGCACATAGTTCTTTTTTTCAGTCTGTATTAAAGTGTTCAATCTTTGATCTTAAAAAACTATCACATCTCACACCTAGTAAAAGAGAAGAAGCTTGGAGGTACAATCAATGGAAGACAATAAAGTGTAACTCAAAGTTAGCCTAGGTCACTCAGTGCTGGATAAGGTACAAATATTGTTTTACAATAAATGAAAAACTACACAGAATGATGTACTACAGAACTGCAGTACTCCTTTCATTTTCAAATAAATTGTCTGTTCTAATTCAAGACTCCATCTGACTGAATGATCATGGTCCAGTCAACGGAAGTGGAAAATAGCTAACAAGATGTGATTTTTCAATTTTTTTTTTTCTCTTTTTTTTCCACATTAATACCCGATTTCTTTATTTAGTCTTCATCTTCCCAACCACGATTATCCTTCGATCCACGTGTCCTTTATTGATTTCAAAATATGAATTTGAAATTTTCTGTATCCACCGACCCTCACACACACCTAATTTAGGGGCCAGTGGCACCTACATGTATGCTTGTACCTAAATTTCAGACCACTCCCTTTCTCTAGAGAAACCACAGATTTCTTTATCCCCCTTTCGCAGGCTTTTTCAAGTTATTTTACCCTTTTGTCTAGGAAATTTAAAAATTTTACTCCCTTATAAAGGGATTGTGATGATTTCAAGACACTTTTGTTCAATTTCTTGGGAACATGGCTTAAAATATCCTTGTTTGCAACATATCTTGGACCTAGACACCCTTGCAAAATATACACCTTTTCCCTGAGAAAATTAGAAAGCATGTACATCTCTTCACACCATGGAGTGGGGGCCAGAATCCATTACATACAGCACAGCATACACCTGAAATTTCGTTAGTGTTTGTTTATGCATTTTGGGACAGCTAGAAGGTAATTACTTAACATTGTTGCAGTCTCTACTCAACATAGTATCAATTTGATAAATATGGCTCTTTTATTCTGTATCACTGTTGGCAGGTTGCCAATACCTAATTGTAATAACATTTTTAATATACAGTTAAATATACAAAGGCATATAACATTGTGTTAACAAATATCTATGTTTCACTAAAAAATGTGTTTAAAAACAACCATCAGAACTAACCTACCACTTCCTTAATGTACTATACTGTAACTGGAAAGTTGCTGAACAGTTTTCCCACTGTGTGAAGATGTTAGTTGCCAAGTAGCTTCAAGCTGTCCCAAAATGCAAAAGTGTCTGCCCTGGTGGATACACTGTACCAAGTCGGAGCCGGCTGAGTGTGAGCTTAGATAGGGTCTTAGTCCACGCATGACAATGTGCCGATGCATCCAACCCTTTGGATAATGGCCAGAAATTGACTTGATATTTGAGAATAACATTGCAAATAATTCCCATTATAACTATTTTGTTCTCGTACTTGTCTCGTGACATAATCATTATTTATCTTGTAGGAGAAATAATCACTTAAATTTAGATTTTCATGGGCACACAGACCACCCAGGAAAACCTTTTAGGTAGTCTACTGGAATTTTTGGTGGTCAATGGCGAACAAACCACTGTTAATTTTGAGTTGTGATGCACACTACCAAAGTGGTCTTATGGAAAACCCAATCTCAACAGTGGGAATTCTAGGTGCAAGGACAGATGAGATAAATACTTTCCATTACCTGACTCAATGCGGGTTTAAGAAAGTAAGTATAAACTGTGAAGCAGCACCTGCCACTGAGTGGATTCTAAGAAGCAAATCATAAAAGAGTAAAAACAGATAAAGATGTAAAAGAGACACTTACCCATCAGATGGTAAACTGAAAAATGGTACTGGAGGTAGGTGATATCCTGAGGGGAATGAAACTGCTACATGGCAGAGGTATTTGGAGACAAAGGTGTTAGACATAGTCCACATACCAGCATGGAGTATCTCATATCTCATCTAAGCATTTTTGAAAGTGGGAGGCCAGAGTGTGAGTCAAGTGGCAGATTTGAGGGG